AACTAGATGCTCTTGTCCATATAAACAATTGCACCTACAATATTATGTAAAGCTTCTTTTGGGGGAGTCATGCTGCTAAAAAAAGGAGGGTCTGCAGGAGGCCACTTAAAAAACAGTTCAGAAAAATGACAACTCAACTAACACTGGAGATAAAAGAAAAAGAAGACACAGAATATTTGAGAACTTGGGACTTGTTTTATCAATGGTTGGATAATAGAGATAGGAACTGGAACTGAAAAAGTATTATTATGTAAGTAAATTGACCCAGTCAATACACTGTTCACTAAGCACTTATGGTATGTAAAGAGAAAATATATAAATAAACTATTAAAAAAGAGAGAACTCAATTTGTCTTTTTAAGAAGTGTCGTTATTCTGTCTTATTGGTCAATCCTTGAAATATAGTTCCTAAAGTAAGGGACATGTTGCTCTCCAAATTCTTCCTCTGAAATGTGCTTTTCCAAAGCTTGTTGAGTTTCCCACACAGCAGGTCAAAATGTTGTGTACTTTTACACATGCATTCTTCTCGGAAAATCTTGACAAGTATCAAGTACCCCAGGAGTGCAGTCAGCCTTTCGTTTCTTACTCAGCCAGATTCAGCCTTCCATACTTTAATTCTGGTAACTTTTTAGAACATTGCTGGAAAAAAATCAACCTTTGGCATTTTTAGATTTAAAAAAAAAAGCCAGCTCAAAACTTGTAGCAAACTGAGGATTGGCACACTGCAGCAGAAAAACAAGCTCTGCCTCCTAATAACTGACTAGGTTTCATTTACTGAAGTGGAAAAACGTACCACCTTTTACCTCCATTTTCCTGAGCAAAATGTAGGAGACCAGAGTTTTCACAGGGACAAACCTTCCTGTATGGCTCATAGTCAGGATTTGGAGCAATTGACTACTACTACCTTAAGGGGAAAAAAACACTTTTTTTTTGGTCTTATGTAGCCCCTCAACCTTTGCTACTTGACAAACACAGAAACATAGCTAATGTCCAATTAGTGTATTCTGACACAGGTTTGTATCTCCACAAAACCAGCACAATTGATCTCTACTTTTGGGGTTGGAGACGCTGATTGAAGCTGCGCCAGTACTGCCTGGAGATAAAGCAGCCTAGGAAATCCAGTTAACTGTCTGTCTCCCCAAAGATACAAATGGAAATAGACTTCTTCAATCTGCTACTCTCCAGAAAGGTTGGACTGCAGCACAATTTAGTTCCCTACCACTGAACTGTACTATGGTAGACTACAACTATCATTAGTTCCCATGATACTATGGTGGGAATGCTGAGACATGGGTGAGGCATGCAGAATGTTTTAAGTAGAATAATGACTGTAATTAAACATTTAAAAAAAATTATTCTCCAAAGCACCAGAGGGCAGGACAAGAAACAATGGTTGGAAACTAATCAAAGAGAGAAGCAACCTGGAATTAAGGAGAAACTTCCTAACAGTGAGGACAATTAACCAGTAGAACAGCTTGCCTCTAGAAATTGTGGGCGCTCCATCACTGGATGTTTTTAAGAAGAGTCTAGACTCTAGACAGTCACTCATCTAAAATGGTATAGGTTCTCCTGATCAGGGGGCTAGATTAGAAGAGCTCCAAGAGCCATTCCAGCTCATTCTATCATGATTTAATATACAAATTGAGCTGTTCCTTTGAGGGAGATGAGTCATGAAAGATGACACACATTTAGAATGGTTACTGGAAATCTGATGTAGCCCTATTTGCATTTTACTTTCTACGAGCTGATAGAACAAGCTTCTTTCAACTTCCTCCTGGCAAGCTAAAGGAAAGCCGCCATTTTTCTCAAGTGTGGGTAACCAGAGAGCTAAGGAATGGAACAAGGAAGTCTTCATAAGGAAGACTTAGTTACAGGGGAAAAAAACATGCTAACATTGCAGCTTGTTTGCTTTTTGGTTTTAACTACTTTGGAAACTACTTCTGTAAACACACCAAAATATTCTGCAGATGGAGAAATTTGATGGCAATGAAGAAATTGTCCAAGGACCATACTGAAAATATGCTTAGCTAACCCCCTTCCTCTCTTTCTCTTTTAAAACAAGTTAGTGATTGTTTTAAGAATCCTTCGCACATCCACCTGTTGATTGTCCTAATGGGGTTTTACAGTTCTAGCATTTTCCTGGACACTGAAAATATTGTAATAGCTGGCTCTAAGAACTGCAAGTAGAGGACAATAATTTTGAATCTTGCTCAAGTTGGTCATTCGGAAGGAATGTCTATGTGTTCTGTTTTATGTATTGTGTTAATACACAGATATTTTTACAACCCTGGCAAATTGTTTGAAGTGGACTTCGTAAGATCACTCACGGATACCTGAGTTTAATTATTAACAGATTAATAGAGTTGGAAGGGACCTTGTAGGTCTTCTACTCCAACCCCTTACCCAGGCAGAAGACCCTACACCATTTCTGACAAATGGTAGTCCAATCTCTTTTTGAAAGCTTCCAGTAATGAAGCTCCCACAACTTCTGAAGGCAAGCTGTTCCTTTGGTTGATTGTTCTATCAGAAAATTTCTCCTCATTTCTACATTTCTATTGAATCCTTATTTCTGTTGAATCTCTCCTTGATCAGTTTCCATCCCATATTCCTTGTCTGGCCTACAGGTGCTTTAGAAAATAGATTGACAACCCCCCACCTCTGTGGCAGCCCCTCAAATATTAGAACACTGCTATCCTGTCTCCCTTGGTCCTTCTCTTCACTAGACTAGCCATGCCCAGTTCCTGTAACCGTTCTTCATGTTTTAGTCTCCAGTCCCCTAATCATCCTGGTTGCTCTTTTCTGCACTTTTTCTGTAGTCTCAACATCTTTTTTATACTGTGGTGACCAAAACTAGATGCAGTATTCTAGGTGTGGTCTTACTAAGGATACATTGTTTCCAAACTGAATCTACAAATAGCAGGCCGATTTGGTAAAAATCAAGATTAGTAAAGATGTTATGTTTTGCCAGCAGCCTGCAGAGCTGGCAGCGGAGTCGGACAGTGATGAGGCTGAGGAAGAACATGGGCCAGTCCTGGAGGCTGGGGAAGGCCTGGATGAGGGTTCTGCGTCAAAGGCAGAGATGGGGCCAGGGCCATCGGGGAGCGATGTGCCGACTCTGGAGCCTCCAGAGGCTGACAGTAGAGAGGTAGAGGAACAGGAGGAGCCTGTTCCTAGTGCACGTATGAGAAGAGCTGCCAGAAGGCAAGAGCAGCTAAAGCAAAGAGAACAACTCGGGAGTAGGGCCAAGAGATGATTGGCCCCTCCCATAAGGCTTAAAAGACCAGCAACGGCTCTTGAGCTCTTTGTCGGAAAACAACGTTGATACTTTTGCTGCACTTATCTCGTCGGCATCTTCTGCTTCTGAACTTTTGCCAAGAGAAGTCTTTGGCAGTTTGCCTAATTATACCAAGGTTGGTGATTAGACTGAAGAATTTGTGTTATGAAGAGTTTGTTTCAATTTAGTTTGGACTACGCTGAGAATGAGTTAATTCTCAGCTGTTCTAATAAAGTCCTTTTTTTTATTTATTTATTTATATGCCGCCCTTCTCCGGAGACTCAGGGCGGCTTACAGTGCGTTTTGGAACTGTTTGTGTCGATTACTACCTACTTGGGCCTGGGTCCCAACAAAAGATGACTGCCTACAGTCCATATGCCTGAGTTCTAATTTAAGAAGTAAAGCAGGTAGTTTGATACCACAAATCAGATAGCTCAGGGTTGTAACAATCTGGATTTGTGTTTTGACAAGGTACGTGTAAGCCTGCAAAAGCTTCAGGATGAAACTTGCTTGCTACATTTCTAGTCCCTCTCAGATGAACAGCTCCAGTTTGTTCCACCAAATGTTTCTGAACTATCTTTGAAGTCCATTCCCTATAATCTTCTGCAACCTATCAAGTCTAGAAGGCAGCAGCTAAATACTGAAGTCACAGGTAACCACAATACAGGGCTGTTGCTTAAATTCTTCCAACAATAATTCAAAAGCTATTGAAACAAAAATAATGTGATTATTAAATGGTACCAATAAGTGTGAATAGTATATCAAACATAATAAACTTTAGGAAGGCATACTGAAGTTTAACATAGATTAGTTATCTACTGGATCAGAATATCATATTCGAATAAGAACAGAAACGCATCCAGCACATTGCCCATCACTTAAACTCTCTATTTTCTCAGAGAAAATATTCAGTGGAAGTAATTAGAATACCGTTTCCCTGAAAATAAGACCCTGTCTTATATTTTTTGGAACCCCCGAAATAAGTGCCTGGCCTTATTTTCGGGGAGGTATTATTTTGGGGTGCATGGAGGAAACCAGAGGAAATGGTGGGGACCGGCTGTGCATGTGTTTAAATATTTTTGGGGAGGGCTTATTTTCGGGGAGGGGGCCTTATTTTATTGCATGCGCTCATAAGCCCGATTGGGCTTATTATCAGGGGATGTCTTATTTTAGGGGAAACAGGGTAGGACAGGGGTCTGCAACCTTAAGCACTCAAAGAGCCATTTGGACCCATTTCCCACAGAAAACACCGGGAGCCACAAAACCCTTCCCGTGCCTGACTATTTCTTGAGCGGCCATAAAACTAGCATATGTAGTTGAATTAAACGTTTTGTTTTCTTCTGAAACTTTTCTTTTCTTGGATTTATCCATGGTTGGCCTACCGGGAGTTAAAAAGTTCAATAAATCGTTTGCCAGTGGGTGTTGCACATTGGCGGTTGTGACGCATATTTTGAATGACAGGGAGCCGCAGTAGAGGGGTGAAAGAGACACATGCAGCTCCAGAGCTGCAGGTTGCTGACCCCTGGGCATAGGATATTTCACCAGATAGGTACGTATTATGGTTAATTAAAATTAGGCAGGGAAGAAAAAAACCAAAGCATTTGCATTGTACAGGCTTTTAAAAAATTAAGGTAGTAACAAACACAATTTTTATTGATCCATGAATATATAAAAGGAAATTAATGTAAATGTTTAGTCTCTTTGAACAAAAGACAAAATTCTAAATATATATTTGCAAACAAACTTTATTATTTAATAAAGCTACATAGGCTGAGAGAGATAAGATCATTTATACTTTCAGCAGAAAATCTGAAATAACTGCATTTACATTTTGTTGGCTATCGAGGTGAGCAATGTTGTCAATCTTATCTAAAGAATTTTATTCCCTACCCTGAGAAAAATTAACACAATCTACATTATTGCTTTATAACAGTGGGCAAGAGATTTGTTTTACTTTGTTCTACTCTTCTTTTCTCTTATTTTCCAAATGGTAAAAAGCCCACCAATCTGGTTTTACACATATATTTTAATTTGATATAGACCTAAAAGCTTTCTCCAGAACTACCTCAGCATTTTATCATATTCCTAACATGGAATGGAATTTTTGGGTACATCACATCATGTCCATAACTCTGAAATTTAAAAAAAATAATCACTGGGCTAGTAACTTGGTTTATAAAACAAAGATCAACAGAAGACAAGAAATGGTCCCAAGCAAAGCTACCCCACTCATGTAACCACTTGAAAGTCAGACTTCAGCCCTTCCAGAGCCTTCACCACCTTGTTTGCTTTGGAAGTCCAATAAGTGTCATACAAGCTGCAAAAGAATTTCATTCAGGTTATTAATACTATAGATTACAGATGAGAATTCAATACTAGAACTATACTAGAAACTTCAGACAAGCACAAAATCACTCGAAGTTGGTAATCACATGTCTAATAAACACAAAATCTAATTTCCATAAGTGAGGCTACTTCCCATAGAGGAAGATGTTCTGGCTACCCCAAAAAATTGAAATAACGCTCTTTCTAACATTTAAGATTCAATCAACCAGAACCATGGTTCTAAAGATACACATTTGAGGGCAAATCGTTTTGAAGGAATATCAAGAACATTTGAAGAATCCTTGGAGCAAGGCTACTCTAGAAAAACATGCCCAATTCAGTCAGTCGATTCAGCAGCTCAATGAAATGCTTCTGAAATATTTAAAATGGTGATTGATCATCCTGGAAATAAGTACAGACTGACTGCAAATACAACAAAGGCATTTGGCGGAGAGCAGTTTAGGAAGCTCTACTAAAATTGGATGTAGTTTTTAATCAGAACACAATTATAGACCGAATCCTTTCCATTTTTCTAAAATCACTCTTAAACGACCCCTTTTTCCTCATTTTTACATGCTAACCAAGAGATACTTACATTAGATATTTCAGGTTACAGTTTGGGTTTTTCACCGCTTCACACAACTTCAACACACCCTCATCCCCTATTTGGCTGTAGCTCACATCCAGTTCCCGTAGAGAAGGTTTCTCAACTATAAGTTTGGCAAGTGCATCACAGCAAACTGCTGTAAGACTCGACTGCCCCAGCCTAGGAAGAAGTCAGAATAACACCAAATAACATTTGCAAAAAAACTGGAACAATGAAAAAACCACCATCTTCCATTTGTATAAATACTTAGAAACTGCCCTAACTATGTAGTTAGAGCTATCTATAGCCTCTATTTGCAAACAGCAACTGTTCCGACCCTCAAAAATGTTTCATTGATTTCAGGGAACAGTAAGCTTTTAGTTTTTTAAGATACTGCCAGAAGTTATATTGTTAGTAACATGGTTGTTAAGCAGTGGTGAAGTGTAAAATTTGTTACTACCGGTTCTGTGGGCATGGCTTGGTGGGGGAAAATGTGACTGGGTGGGTGTAACCAACTTTTTTAAAAAAAAAACTTTTAAAAGCATTTTTTCTACATCTTCTTTGGCCGAAGAGGTTGTAAAAAAATGCTTTTAAAAGCCTCTGACAATCAGGAAACTCAGCTGGGATCCTCAGAGACTTTTTTTTTTTACTTTTAAAAGCACTTTTTCGGCCGAAGAGGTTGTAGAAAAAATGCTTTTAAAAGTAAAAAAAAAAGCCTCTGATGGTTGCGTGGCTCAGCTGGGCATGGGGGGGAGGGCACAGGGATTTTTGCTACCGGTTCTCCGAACCACCAGCCGCCATTGCTACCGGATTGGGCGATCCAGTCCGAACTGGGAGTATTTCACCCCTGTTGTTAAGTGAATTTAGCTTCCCCATTGACTTTGCTTGTCAGAAGACTGCAAAAGGGGTTTACATGACCCTAGGAAACTGCAACCGTCATAAATATGAGCCAGTTGCCAAGTGTCTGAATTTTGATCACCTGACCATGGGGCTGCTGAAACAGTCGTAAGTGTGAAAAACAGCCATGTCACTTTTTTCAGTGCTGGTGTAACTTTGAACAGTCACTTAATGAACTGTTGTAAATTGAGGACTACATGTAATGTATTAGTTATCCTTCAATAAACCACTGGGGGGAGGGAGAGGAGGGCTTGAAAAGCAGCTAATATACCTAAATACTGTGGCCAATACCCTTAAATAAACTTCAGTCAGCACAAAATCAATGAAACCATTTGATCTCCGCAAAGGTATCAGTTTTGCTTTGGTGAAGACAACTGTGATTGGCACACCTATCTTTAGAAACAATCTCTACTTTATATTTGCATTAAGGAGGTTATGCTTTTTTTAAAGGCTTCCAAGTTGGCTAATGTATCTAGAAAAATAGCAATTAGTATATAAAACACAGTTGAATATGTTTATATAAATATATATTTAAAAAACCCTGAAATGCAATTACTAAAATGCATAATCTGATATCCTGTACCATCAATAATAACTGTCTAGTCCTCAAAATTGCAGGATTATGATAAGTGTGAGAGTCATGGGAACCTGATGAAGATCAGGCATTTAAAATGACACCAAAATCTAGTGTCCAGTCCTATTCCTCTTCATTCATTCAGATTTTGAGTATAAGCCCCCTTTTTACTAAAAGAATCCTAATGCTTTAGTGTAGGCCAATGGTGAAATCTGAACCGGTTTCGCTGGCTGAGCATGCATAGTGCGCACCACGTACCAATGTGAGGTGCATGCACATAGTGCACGCCAAAAAGAGGCATGCAGTAAGTAGAAGAGCGCACGAGGAGGGGGTGATTAGCTTTGGCACACAATCTCTTTTTTTACTTTTAAAAGCCTCTGACGATCGCGCTGCTCAGCTGGGATCATCAGAGGCTTTTTTTTACCCTTTAAAAGCATTTTTTCTACAACCTCGAAGAGGTTTGGCCGAAGAGCTTGTAGAAAAAATGCTTTTAAAAGGCTCTGACGATCCCAGCTGAACTGCGCAATCATCAGAGGCTTTTTTTTTTTCTTTTAAAAGCATTTTTTCTACAACCTCGAAAAGGTTTGGCTGAAGAGGTTGTAGAAAAAATGCTTTTAAAAGTAAAAAAAAAAAGCCTGTGATGATCGTGTGGCTCAGCTGGGCATGGGCGGGGGGGGGGGGGCAGGGATTTTTGCTACCAGTTCTCCGAACCACCCGCTGCCATTGCTACCGGATCAGGCGATCCAGTCCGAATCGGGAGCATTTCACCCTGGTGTAGGCCAACTTTTCATAGGAAGATGCTTCCTGGACTAATACACCCAAAGGCTATTCATGTTGTTATTCTAGGTGAAGAATGTTGCCCTCAGATGCTGGGTGGATGGAAAATATTCACCGCAAATTCCAGGAAAAGGAAAAAAGGTAGATCAGGGTTTTTCACACTTGGGCAATTCTAAGATGTATAGACTTTAACTCCAGAATTCCCCACCCAGCATGAGAGTTGAAGTCCATACAACTTAACAACTAAAGTTGCCAAGTTTAAAAAACAGGGTTAGAAGAATCTCACAGAAAGCAGTATACAGAAAAGATAAGAGAAGTTTACACTGTCACTCACCAGAGGGATTCAAGGTTGCAATTTGGACTCATCACACCTTCACAGATTTCAATCACTCCTGTATCGCCAATGTCATTGCCACCCAATTGCAGCTCTTTTAGGACACTGTTCACGCTCAAAGCAGAGCTAATACTGTTGCAGCAAGCCGCAGTCAACTCACAATCTCTTAACCTGTAGCAGGCAAATAAGTGCATCTCTTAAAACTTTGCAATACAAATCTTTCCCCAGATTCTGTTTGCTTTCTCTTCTGCCAAATTATTATTAGCAGCTAGTTTTGTTCCGGCCTATATGCTGAAGACCCAACAACCCTAGTTCTATTTACCCACATGATTCTTTCCTTGCTTCCACACAGAACTCTCATTTTCATATCCATTTGGCTTAGGGCCGTGATGGCGAACCTATGGCACCCATGCCGGAAGTGGCATGCAGAGCCATCTCTCCGGGCATGCAAGCCGTCGCCTATTGCTCTTCCAGGTTCCAGACAGCTGGTCTTCACATGTGCGGAAGTGCCAGAAACTGGAAGAGCAGCTGCCCGGTGCGCATGCGTGCACCGGGCAGCTGCTCTTCCTGCTTCCAGCGTACGTATGAGCACCAGCCACCTGGTCTTCTGGTTTCTGGCACACATGTGCTCGTGAAGACCAGCTGGCCGCTGTGCGCACCAAAAACTGTATGATCATTTTCCCGGTGCACTCTTACGGTTTCCAGCATACATGCGCACACTCCCATTTTGGCACTCGGTGCCAAAAAGGTTCGCCAACACTGGCCTAGGGCTTCAGTGGTAAATATTGCAAGTAACAGAAAAGCAAAGATACGATCAGAAAATTAAGGGAGGTTTAAAGAGCTTCTACCTCACAGCATAGATATATTTGTGGGGATGGGTTACCTTACAGATTCTTGGAATCAGAAGCGTGGCAGGAATGTCATTTAAGCAATCCCTTGAAGCTACATTGCCCCTCCATTCTAGACATACCCTGTTAAGCGGCATTGCTGATTGCAGCAAAAAGAAAATATGCACTAACCATAGAGATTGGAGTTTTGTTTTTGGATCCTTCAGCCCTTGACATAAAAATTCTACTCCTTCATTTTTCACAGGATTTCCCAGCAGGCTCATCTCCTTGAGTGTCTCTTTGGTGCCAATGATTGTGGCAAGTTCCTTACAACCAGCAGCAGTGATATTGCATTCCCACAACCTGAAATAATCACCAAATCATTGCCTTTAGATTTTCACCAACAATAAGATGGGAGACCCATGGTTCCCTCATTTGAAACATTTATTTACATCTTCATAAACCTGCTCCTTAAACTACATACTATTCACTTGTAGTAAGTAGTAATGCATAAAAAATATTGAAATAAACGTATGATCCAGAATCAAAATTCTCCCTTGGCCAATGGAAACAGATCAAGACCAAGTCTATTTCTCAACATACTTGAGCCCTGAAGATTATGTGCCCCCCCGCCTTAGTCTTTGATGTGAATGGGACCCCCATTTGATGGCAGCCATTTGGTGGTAGCATCTCTGATATTACTCTAGAATCAGAGGTTATCTTTAACAGAAAAGAATTGGCCATTACTAGGCTAGATGGCCATTTATAGAAACATGGATGAAAATGGATTTGTGACTCATCTATGGTAAATGTTACATTCCTTTACAAATATACTTTACAGACATAATTATTGCAGAAACTACACGCCGAGTTCCCTCCCCCACAGAGAGGAATACCAAAAACACCTACTTACACAATTATTCTCACTTGCACTGGGAGAAAAAAGTATGCTGCCAAGACTTATGGTACTAAATCATAATATCTGAAAATGTATACTGTAATATATTTTTAACATATTAGGAAAAGTATATAGGTGTAGTTTTAAATATTAAAAAATTCAGTAAATCAACCCCATTTTCCATTTGAAATAAAATAGAGGTATTACTAAGCAGATTTCCATTCTGGATTTGGCTGTAACAACCTAGTTATCCCCTGGTACATAACAAGCCACTGTAAAAACCTGATTAACTTTGTTACCAAAGAACATTTGATACAAGATTCTAAGACTGCCAATGTTTAGGGAGTCACTTACCATAGTTTCTCTACTTTGCAATTTGGAGTTTGGACGCCTTGGCAGAGGATAGCTAGTCCTGGATCCCCAATACTGTTGTCTCCTATGCATAATTCTGTCAAGGATGGGGTATTACTGAGGAAACTACTGAGGTCCTCGCAACTAGCACGTGTGATCTCACAGCTCTCTAATCTGCAAATAAACAAAAAACAATTCCAAAGCTGCACTGGATTTCACTAGAAAACTGACAAAAGGATTTTGTTATTTCAGCAATTCTGCCTACAATAATCACAGTGTTAGAGATGGGCATCTTACAGCTACAGAACACATGGCTTTAAATTTCTAAGAGTGTGCATATAAAGAAAATTGTTCTGAGCTTGGAAGAAAGCAGCTTCAATTGTCGTATTTCACACATTTTGACACAATGGGAACTCTAAACAAATCCCCTGCTTTGTGTTTCATCATAGGGCCACAAAGAAGGGGGTTTAGTCAATGATCAATGCTATTTATATCTAATTTACAAAACTGGCAAATAGGATTGTAAAACGTTAACAAGCTTTTAAAACAGACACATACACACACATGGTTACACACAGTAGACAAAAAAATTGTTAAGTACTTTGTTGCAACCAGTCCGCACAAAACATAGTCCAGCAAAGTTGCAAGAACAATGGGGTCATTTTAACACAACCTATAAATAACCTAAAACAACAGGAAAATATATATTTAAATTATAAGTTTGGTATTTCTTCCTAATGCATACAGTAGATACAAGTTGCAGTTTGTAATATAATTGCAAGATAAAGTGTAATAGCTTAGCAACAGGGATTACCTATGGAATATACAAGCACAGTTTTCATTTGACAACCTGCTTACAATACTTGTGGATCTGCTGATTTGGCTAATTGCACTTTGCTAATCTTTCTAACTTTTGATGAATTACTTAGAAAGATGTGAAATAAAAACTCCTTTTGTCCTGAGTTTGGATAAAACCCTGAAACACAATTTATTTATTTATTTATTTGTAAAATGTATTGGCTGCCCATCTTACCTTAGAGTAACTCTTGGCCAGCCATCTTTCCTCAGGGTAATAAATTTGTTTTATTCAGGGCACAGAATAACTGAAATAGCTATTCCAAGCTCAAACTGTTTTAAATATTCACTCTGGTACAATCCATCTTGCGTGGATTATCCTTTAAGGTAGACACTCACTTTTTAAGAAAATTCTCAGCCGTGACATACCCCAAAAGCGAGAACTCCAGACAAATATGAACTGTATCTTACTGTAGGGATTGCAGGTTAGAAGAGCCCTTCACCAAGGCTTGGCAGAGGTTTTTCACTGCTTCATCTCCTAGCTTGTTATTACTCAGGTTGAGCATTTGCAGGGATGATTTGACACACAGTACAGAGCAGAGAGCGTCTATGTTTTCCTTTGTGAGGTCACAGAATTGTAATCTATAAGAGAGAGGAGTGAGTTGACTTTCAAAAGGTAATAGTAAAGACATATTATAGGTTTGGGAAAGGTCCAGAGGATGGACTGTATACATATTATAACCTATGACAGAGCTTTCCAGTCCAATTTTGTTTAGTTTTCTTATTCATTTATTTAATTAACCGCTAGCATAACACCAACTCTAAGCAGCCAACAAAGCATAAATAAGATTAAAGCAAGAAAGCAAGTTTATATATCCAGTTTACAAACAATCAAATAACAATTAGAGTGTCAAAACCCAAGTCAGGAAAATTAATAAAACCAGTTACACATCATAGTCCAACAACTGGAGTCACAAACCACCCTGCCAAGGATTTGCTGAAAACTCAGGTCATCAAGCCTTTCCAAAAACACAACAGGATTGGGACCATGTGCATTGGGGGGGGGGGGAGGTGGTCCCAGAAAGCAGAAATGGCACAGAGTAAACATGTCTCCAATATCCCAACGAAATGGCACTGCTTCACTAATGGAAATCTAGAGCATGCTGATTCTGCCAGATCTTATGGAATGGGCAGAAACAACCAGAGGAAGGATGTTGTGCAGTTATCAGGGCCCCAAGCCATAAAGCCTGATAACCAATACAGAGCAGAGGGGTAACATGGTCAAAACAAGGTATGCCCATAATCTACTTGCACTGGTGCACTATATTCAACCTGTAGTTTCCAAGTGGTCTTCACAGACCCAATTAAATGTTGCAACTGCCTAAATTAAATTAAGTCATAACAACTACAAGATGTGTTAAGGCATCTCGATTCAGGAAAGGGCACAACTGGCACACCAGATAATCTGTACGAAGGCCACCCCAATCATAAATGTTTCTTGCTCATCAAGCAAGAATTAAGAGTCCTGAAGCATCCCCTGCCATTATTACAAACAAATCTGTATACAGATGCACAACCTCATCAGTAAATAAAATTGGGAAATCTCTGAGATTTCCAAGACAGAAACTTACTATAAACACACTAGGTATTAAATGGTAACAACCAGAAACCAGGGCCGCTAAAAAGTCAAAGACTTGGTACCTAAAATGAGTAGAGAGTGTTACAAGGACGAATCAATGTAAGATGCCAAGTCCATCTTCCCTGAGACTCATGTAACCTCTAGCTTAGTCTGGGTGAAAGACCATGACTTTGGATCCCTCATTTGATATAATTTCATGACTGATCTCCTCAATCTTAGTACCTCAGCCTCCGTACCTTAACCACTATACCATATTCTCTCCTAATTTTTGCTGGTTTATCCAATTCTGTGTTGATGGTCCTTACAAGATGGGTGAAAAAGAAGTTTTCTAATGTGAGAAACTTCTAACTAAAACATATTTGCTGTCTTATATGTACTGAAGAACTTGAAATACTTACTGTAGCGATTCTAGTTGGCAGTTGGAATCCACAAGTCCTTGGCACAATGCTTTTCCACCTGATGTGCCCAAACTATTATCTCCCAGGTGTAGCTCTGTCAGAGATGATTTAGTAACTACAGAACGAAGCTTCTCACAACAAGCTTTAGTTAAGTTGCAGTTTCGTAACCTGGAATAATAAAATTGTATAAATTACATTAATGCTTGAGAGTAGGAGAGGATAGCAAGAATCATCTCACTGAATGCTGTGGTCATGCTGGCTGGAACATGACAGTCAAATGAAACATATTTTTGAAGGCCACAAATCCTCATTCCTAAGAGTGCCCATGTCAAGAGTGGCTTAAAAGACATTAAGGCAGATTAAATTTCTCCCAGTATCACTCCTCTATTCCAGCAGGGTGGCTCTTTCTGTTTCTTGAGTTCAATGACTGGCAATAAACTCCAGAAATAATGTTGATGCATCATGTATCTTATGCGCCATCTCAAAAGTGGCAAACAATTATATATATATACAGCAAAATGCTCAGTTGTCTTGCATACAGGAAGTAATTTTGGTATTTACTAACAAAGCTGGAAACCCGTTTGAATCCCTAGACTGTTGAGATTCAATTGCCAATAATTGTTGATTTCATCAACCTGACGTTCTTTAATTATGTTGGACCTCAATTTTCAGAACTTGTCCATTCTGGTTCAAAACTAAATAAGTTACAATCTAAAGCAGTTGGAAATCACGGGGTGGTAGTGGTATTGCAGGAGTTTGGAGGGAAGGGGACAAGGATCAGTATCTATACAAAACTGAGGAAGCCACTGGCCCACCCTGGTACAAGGCAACTTCTTTTTTTTCAGGAGAAACAGCCAAGCTTCTGCACTCCTTAGTCCCACAGCTGAAGACATCACCTCCAAGTCCTATTTATTTCCAGTTAGCCTATACATTACATCAGTCCAGAAGAGGACTTCAAAGGCTCTCTCCCCACAGCCCACATGGTGTGGCAAGGCTTCTGCGGTTCTTGAGGGCCCCCCAGCAGATATGTAGGTGCCTTGGCTGAGTAGCCTATCCGACCCACTCAGCATGGGAGCCCTGGCACCCATCTTCAGCACCCTGCAGTTGTCCTGAACGTGGCTGCGCACAGCTAGCTTGAGGGCTTTTTCTTGGAAGAAGCCACCCTGGCTGGTCCTCTTCCAAAGTGTGGTTGCCACTTATCTGTGAGTGATCTCTCCCCAGTGCACTCCAGGAATTCTCCTCACTCCCAGCTCTGCAGTGCCCCACCATTGCTCCCCATTTTACATTTGGATCAGGGTTCCAGTCTGGTACCCTTCTGCCATCCAAAGCTTTTCCCACGTCTTCCTGTCTGGAACCAGCTCCAGGGAAAAGGTGCGATATGCATGGATGGGCCATCCTTCCTCCCCCACCCCTAAAGAAAGTCTCTGGCAATTTTGGGGAGGAAGTTGCAAAGGGGACAGGATTGGGAGGGAGGGGGAAGCTTGGGAAAGCCAGAGAAAGGGAAGGGCAAATCCAGTAACAGGAGAGCCTCCCTACCCCTGGCAGCTGGAGGGACAACAACATATTCCCCAGGGAAGCAGTCTTCCCACCTCCCTGCCTCAGGCCTCTGGTCTGCCTGCACTTTCTTCACAGATCCGCCTGAGTGGGGGCCGGAGCTGTTTCAAAGAGCGGGTCGAAGTGCCCATGGCCACTGTAGTGTATATTATCAGCAATATTACAGCTATGTGACCATAAAGCCATGTAAAGATATGAGCTTCAGACACATGTAACAAGCAGCAGTTTTCTAAATGGTATATTGTGTGCTGTTCCTTTCTGGACAAACTCTACTTATGTGGTTGATAAGAGTTGACATTGACCAAGTGGCATAGAACCAATTGATCACACTATGCTAGTTTTTATTTGTCAGCTGAATCAATGTATATGTGACTTCTCAAATAATTACACATTTTATCTATCTGTGTCAAGGTGCATCTAAACAACAGCCCTCATTCTTTCCAATTAAATACCAATATTCTCCTTGCTAATTGAAATCAATGCTCTTTTAGAGAGGTGAGAATTCAAACTTCCATATTCTTCTCTTAGCATTATTCAACACAAAAGAACATGTGTTCAGAGATTTATTATATTTATTAATTTATTATATGGGATTATTGTGGAAACAAATGTATTCACAGGGAAAAGGAGTGTAAAGTCATTATCTTATCAACCCAAACTGAAAAATCATTTGAATGTAGTTGACTGTAAATCACCTATACTGGCTGTTTTCAGAAACAGTAGTTATTTAACATCAACTCATTCAGCGACCATTTGAAATTATGAAGTTGCTGAAGGCGTATAGTTTTTGAGGTTTTAGCCCCTGCGGGACCTCTGCAGTCATGTGAACGAGTGTCACGTCCACCTGGATTTACAGCTGCCTTTTGGACACCCACCACCTGCCCACATCACCGAGCCTTGCCTGCTGCCGCACATCAGTTCTTTACCAGTTGAGGCCTTGTCCACAGCACCTTTTGTGCCAGTACCACTTGGAACTCTCTTTCACTTTGTCCTGGGCCTCCATTTTTGTGCCAGTCAGGGCTTTCTTTTGTTTCTCCTTATCGCCCAACTGCGTTGGCGCAAAAGGAGATTCTGGCCAGGATACGAATGGAGACCCGGCAGCCCTGGAGTAAAAGGAGGAAGTACAAAGAAGGCCTTGCCTGGTACAGTAGTGGCAGTCTTGGTGGTGGCAAGGGAAACTGGTAGGCAAGTAGCCAAACAGGCAGAGATGGTGGGGAAAGAGGCTATTGGGGGGGTTGATGAGGAGGTAGAGGAGGCAGTCCCTTACTTTCTGACGCTCAGGTTGGGAGGGACCAAGCTGGGAATGGCTTGATGGTGGAGAGGTCCTTGACTAAGGGCCAATGGGATTCAGTTAATGGCAGAAGCAGAGAGTGCCCAGACTGCTGTCACTAAGTGATAGAGTCACATTACCTTACAGGTAGTCCTAGCTTTACGATCACAACTGAGCCCAAAATTTATGTTGTTAAGTGACACCTTTCTTAAGTGAGTTTTGCCACATTTTAAGACCTGTACTGCCACAGTTGTTAAGTGAATCATTGCAGTTGTTAAGTTAGTAACATGGTTGCTAAGTGAATCTGGCTTCCCTATTGACTTTGCTTGTTAGAAGGTCATCAAAGGGGATCACATGATCCCTAGACACTGCAAACGTCATAAATATGAATCAATTGCCAAGCATCCAAATTTTGATCATGTGACTATGGGGATGCTGCAACGGTCATAAGTGTGGAAAAATGGTCATAAGTCACTTCTTTAAGTTCTGTTGTAACTTTGAAAGGTCACTAAATAACTGTTGTAAGTCAAGGACTACCTGTACACTTTATGACTGCATCACATAGCCTCAGAAATTCCACTCTCAAGTGCTATTCTAACTGGCAGAATTTATGCCTGGCTACTTGTATAGCCACATTTGGAAGAGACTAACATGGAAGGCAATAACTCTATGAAGGTTTGCATTTGTGGAAAGTATAATCCAACGCTACTAAAGCTATTATGAATTCTAGGAATATTTACCAGAGTTTTTGAAGTTTGCAATTGGGGTTTAACAATCCTTTGCATAGAGTATCTACACCAGCATCTCCCAGTTCATTGTTGCTTAGATTCAATTCAGTTAGTTCTTGGTTGGTAGTCAGAAGAACAGAAAGATCTTCACAATGGCTAATTCCCAGACCGCAGTCATCCAATCTAAAAATTTAGGGGGGAAATAGATTTAGACATTAGCTCTAATTTAGTCAGATGAATTATCTGTCATCTACAGCACCCTCCTAGGCTAAGCTTATTAGTACAGTTTTAAAACGCTTGAATAAAATCTAACAGATGCAGCGTAGCATGTATCTCAAGTATTTAAGAATGTCCTGGAGCAACACACGATTGCTTACATGATTCAACATACACTTACATGATTCTCCCCACCCTTCCCACCCACCCACCCCCGCCCCACAAACCAATATCAAATGCTTTCAGTACAATTTTCTACTATAGTGAGCAATTTGTCCAAGATGGCTAAAGAGGATTTATGAGCAAATGCATCTGGAAAATACATGAACTGGAGTGAGAAAGAGAAACCACTATGTGCAGTGTTTTTCAATGCTGCTGGCTAGGGAATTCTGGGAGTTGAAGTCCACACTAAAGTGAGAAACAGGTTATATGGGAAAGCAAAACATTGGAGGGGGAAAGTGAGGGGGAAAAATACCATCCTTCATGTGAGTGACATTTCAGAAGAATTTCTGTGCTAATCCATTATTAATTTTCTCCCAATTCAAATCATGAAGGGAAATGTTAGAATTGTCAAACAATGCCTTCAAAAAGCTTTTACAATTCACTAAATGCTGTTAACTTACCTAATTGTTTTGTGCTGTTTCATGGATTCAACAAGTTCTTTCCATTTTGATGCATCAAATTCTTGGCACTGCAAGTCAAGGTCCATTTCTTAGGTCTTAACTACAGAGATGAGAAAAATACATCCTCAGGTTAAAAAAATAGCCCACTTGAATTGCATGACTGGATGCAAATTAGTGCAGTTACATTTTTGGTCTTTTGCAATTACAGCCATGCTAGTCACTTCAAGACAGAATTTCTTCATAGACAGCAACCTTGCTCAAGAGCTAAATAAATACCTCTGTCTGAAGTCATTTGGAACTTTAGAAACGACTCCTTTGAACAAGAACTGCTGCAATAATTTTGCAGCACACATAGATAAATTATGAAATGTTACACTCAAGAAGCAGCATAGTTTACCAGAAAGAAGGAACTACAATCCAGGGGCAAAGCATGTGCATTGCTTGCCAAATGTCATGATATAATTGTGGTACTTTTAAATAGAGCTCAAGAATATTCTCGTGAAAATTATAGAAAATTGCTGAGTCAGATTTGAGAAAAGCTGCTACCTTTTTGCTCATTTCTGTGATTTTCAGGGGTTTGGGGGATATTTCACCACAAGCCTCAACACTCCTAAAAAAACTGCCCCCTTTACTTTGGTGATTTCTTATCTGGTTGGTCATCTTCCTTAGTAGGTCCAAGAAATTTCCCCACATCTAGACTAGTAGGACCTAACGAACTTCTTATATTCCGATGCTATATATATTTCGGTTCTAAACCAACAGTGTTGCCCAGGCCTCTAATATTATTCACAATCTCTCCAAGAGTTACAATTGCAATCAAGTAAACTTAATTTCTGCAGGAATACATGCATGAGTTATTGTAGGTCCTGCGGACTCTAGACACTCACTTAGTATGTAACATCTTTCCTTAACACGTTTATAACTTAATCTTGGCATAAACTGAGTTATTTAGGTTGAAGTGACTTACAGAGGTTATTCCAACGATTATTCACATTGAATAACCTTCCAGAAAATATGTAATTGATCAGTTCTAATAAACCCGACCTAAATATCTATCCTAACTACCAATCCATTCTATAAATAATCTTGTCCACATAGAAGTGATGTTCTAACAGTGAATTTACCATAATTATAACTGCTGAAGGGATGAGGAGCTTTATGCAGTGTGCAAATAAGTCTGTTCATTCTGAATACATAGATTGTCAACCTCACTCACTTTCAATTTCAAAGCTTGAAATTCCTAGGGCAACAAAAACCTATTTCTGGATTATTTTTTTTTCCAGATGTCAAACTGTGATACATGAAACCTCCCAGCCTTCAGGCAGACAGGTCTGTACAGAGAAAACTTTATCCTCTGTTTCGTGTGTGTTGGGAGCTTAAAACAGGAGTTCTGCATGGTATTGTTTCAGTGCTACTCACTCCCATTTTTCCTGGAAGATAAGCTGTGCTTGGCCACAATTCCTATGTAATTCCTGTTCTTGGGTGTCGTTTTCCCCCCCCCGCCCCGCCCCATTGAGTTGCATCTACTGACTGAGCATTTGTGCTCAGTATCTTCGTCTTTTCTGGACTGCTAAAGCAAATGGAAGCCCTGGAGCTTTTAAGTCAACCTTGCAATCCCACCATTAACTATAGAAAAAAAAATTCCTAAGACTTCTGCGAAAGGACTCTCCCCATCACTATCTTAAAGCTTAAACAAGGTAGAAGGACAGTGTATGTTTGATCTAGTTTGCCTTGACCATACCATCACTGACATATAGTGTCCATCCTTGGCTGAAAATTGCTCCACACTGCCAGCTTAAAGCCAAAGATATGGGAGTATTAGATAAGGTAGTCTGTTATTTCTCTATAGGTAATCACTGAAATGTAGCAATTTATTTCTGGGGATGACAACATACTCTTAAGAATTGTGCAACTCAAATCCTCCCATTATTTTTTCCCCTTTTTTTATTCCAAATACTACATAATTGCTTTGCCAATCACTTTCAGATATGCAAGCCATTATCCCATCCTGAGGGAAGAGAGCATGGTTCAGAAATTGCCTTTCGTTATGGGCAAAAAAATACTTCATAATATCAAGTAATTCTTGGGAAAATGTATTCTATTTGGGACTCTCTCTGCAGGAAGCAGCCAGACTGATCTTGTTTAGACTTTGAAAATAAGCAGGGTTAGGCCTGGCTAGTTTTTTAAAAATTATTTTTATAAACAACTCAAGGCAGTGAACATACCTGCTTTTCCTTTCTCCTCCTATTTTCCCCACAACCACCACCTGGTAGGTGAATTGGGCTGAGAGAGATTGATTGGCCCAAAGTCACCCAGCCAGGTTTCATACCTAAGGCTGGATTAAAAATCACATCTCCTGGTCTCCAGCCTTAACCACTACACCAAACTGGGAATTATCCAATTGGGTACCGGTAATTTAAAAAATATTCCAGAAGAAAGCAATCTCAATCCATCTCCACACTGCATAATATCCATTAAGTCCAAGAAATTCAGTTCAGTGAAAAGGAGACTTTACTACCCTCACTGTCTGTGGCTGCTCAATGGTTAGTCCAAATAAGCCTTTATGAATGCTGCTCTATTCATAGTTAAGACAACGTAACTTCCAATTGTTTTTCACTGTAATGCTCCTGTGGATAATAAAAAAAAATCATAACCTTTGTCATCCCACAGCTTTTTCAACTCAATGCCATTTAGGTATGTTTACACTGCCTGGAAATTGTCATCTTGTCATCTGTAATTCTATGGCAGGTTCAGAAAGACTGAATTCTACTCTTTGCCTCATTCTACGGTCATTTCCTTTTGGTTCTTTTATTAAATTATCAGTAGGAAGCTGGCATCCAATAAAGCACTATGCCAGCCTTTAGCCTCATATTTATTTCTAAGAATGCTCCTAAACCTTCACAGATAAAAATGAAGTTGCCACACAATACTACGGTTTGTTTGGAAGCATGTCTATCCAGAGTAAAAAATAATGACACAAAAATAAGCAAAAGTAGTAGTAGAGATTATCCTTGGGATCTCAAGGCTATAAACCTATCATCTGCTGTATCAATTAATCTGATTTAATAGATCATATACATCTTCATATTCATCTTAACAGTTAAATAGTATGTCCTCTGGCCCACAAACATTGTCCAAGTATGCTGTAGGCAAAGCAAGTAGAACAAGTTACCAGTCATCAATCAAAAGAAACTGTCAGTTGAGATGGCGATTTGCTTATTGTCATATTTAAAACTATATAATCAAGGAGGTCCTTAGAAACTGATCCTGTCAATTTATTTCTTGCCTATTCACCATGAAAAGTTCAAGAGAATTCATAAAACTATTGTTATAGTATGTTAGATTTAATGTTCCAGATATGGTTATTTAATGGCAATATAATCACACCTGAAGTTTAAAGTGAAAACTCTGGATCACAGCTTATGTTTCAAAAACTTCCTTTCCTTTCTCTTGCCAAAGGCATTATGTACCACCAAAGTGCCAATTAGCCATGTGAGTATTAACATTTAAAATTAAAGGTGCTGCATGCTTCAAAAATTTGGATAAATTGCTTTTGCCCATATTACTTCTCCACTATTCATAAAGCAGCTGTTTTTTCCCCAGGTGCCTGATTGAGCCATATAATGCTGCCACTTTAAAAGTTACATTAACTTTAACAAGCTAACTCCTTCAAGCAGCACTAGCATCAATTTTAGCACATAAACTGAAAAAAGATGGACTGCTTTAATGAACATTATAAAGAGCAAAGCATTATGGCAGGGTCAGAAGTGTTTCTTCCAAATTATTTTGAAATGTACACAATCTAGGTAGAAAGAAAAGTGAGCATTTTATTTTGCAACTTCAGTTAAATGTTACTTCTAAGCTGGGGGGAGGGGAGAAAGGAAAGAAAGAAAGACGACAAACAAAAGCAAGAATTGGGAAATGGTTGCAGGCAGTGAAAAATGCCTTCCACAAATTAAAACCACCCCTCATACACAAAAAGACCAAAAAGCAGCCTGCTATTGGCAAATGAACATTCCTAACAAATTATTGAAACTTTTTTTTATTCAAGTAAACACCACACCAAACTTAGTGCCCTACAATTGAATTGGACTATAACTTTCTTATATCTCATTCATTAGTCCTTCTGGTCAAATGACCAAAGAATTATACAAAATGTAGTGCCAAAACTTCAGAGGGATCTGGCTCAGAAAAAAAAAAAATCAGATGACTATTAGAGGGCAAAGAGTTACGATTTTCTGTACAATTATTAATCTAATTTACATTCACCCCATCAGAAAAGACTTAATGGCTTACACAGATAACCAAACAATAGTTATGCATAGCAACATCTTAGAAACACAAGTAAAACCCCAAATTATAAATTAAGGAAAAAAACAGGAGGGAGATTAAATGGGGTGTCTTTACTTGTAACTTTAAAGAAGGGAAACTTTTTAGCAGAGGCCACTTTTCCTCTGACACCCTTCTAAACCTAAAAATGTCCTGGCTTCCAGTCACTGGATTTTGGCAAACCACGTGCGCTTAAGCCATGATTCGGGAAGGTAAAAGTGAATTAAATTCACATGGCAGCAAAGGCGGCTGTGCTGCAATTGCCTTCCCGGGCAGAGGAATCAAAACGGCGTCTCTAACCTGGAATGGCGCCGGGGGTTCCTAAAATGACAAGACAAACTTTTAAACACAGCACATAAAATAACGACACACCGCTTGCGGTCTTTCTCCCTCAACCGAAAAGTAGTACCGTACTTAAAGCTATTATTCAGGGCGAAGCTCTGAGTCACCGGTAAACGATTCGCTTTCCTCGGGGGCTCCGTTTCGTCAAGTCATCTACTTTGAAGGGAGCAACTCGTCACTGCAAACGAGCCGAGTTTTCCCAACGAAAAGGGCGTGAGCCCATTCACCCATGGCCACGAATACCCCCCCCCAGCACAGCTTTCAAGCGGGTGGGGGCTTCAAATTACCCCAAGTAGTAATTTGGGGACCAGGAACGAAAACCAGAAAGTGCCGCGATTTTCTTACTACGTTGCCAACGACACACAATTCGCAGTTGGCTGTGACCCCCCCCCCCCCCACCTCTCTTCCTTCTCCCCGCCCCCCCCCCCTCAACCCAAATTACCTATTTTTAACCCGACTAACACGAACGCCACGGCCAGCACTACGCCACCCCGCCCCTATCACACCTGGTTAAGCAATAGGAAGAGCCACGACAGGTCTCTCTTACCGGACAGTCGGAGGACGAGAAACGACTAAACAGGCCACCCTCGCCTTCAGCCCCACCCTCTTACGCTAAAATATCTTCTCCGCTTCGGCCACGCCCTCTTCTCACGCGGCCAATTGGAAGAGAGGGAAACCGACTGTCATCATTGCTCCGCCCCCTCGCCAACCAAGGCGTATGCCGTTGCGTTCGGGTTTGCTCATAATCCCGATGAGGCCCGTAGCGAATTTTCCACGGCAACTAGTTGGTTCCTATGGAAGGTTCACGACGCCCTTTTCGCAGCAGAGGCGGAGGATAATGGTTTTTTTTTTTTTTTTTTTGTTCGAGATTCGACCAGGCCTTTTTATTTCCTCACATCAAAGGGGAGTAAAAAGCCCTTTTGCGAAATTTTAAAACTCCCCTTTCTCAGAGAGCCCCTCTCACACTGTTTTGTGGAGAGAGTAAAAAGGCAGGCTACGAACAAGGCATAACTAAAATTCCATTGTAAAATAGGCATTGTGCAAAAATATTTAAAAGAAAATAAAAAAGAAAGGGCTGATCAGAAATCCCAATGTCAAAAGCCGAAATATCTTTAGACATTGCTCCGCAATCTAATAAATCCGAACATGGCTTCTCCGTCAGTACTACATGGACAATAACTTTACTAGTTCCACATTCTGGCAGCTTCAATAAAGTCTAAGAGTGATATATTACTTTAATTGAGCCATTAAAGTAATATAAGACTAAATGCCGTCTCCTGGTAACCTCAGTGGTTATTCATCTCTGTCTTTCTTACCAATTTCCATCTACTTGAAAACTGCCAGATGTAACCGTTTGTACCAGTTTTCTTCAAGCACTGCAAATAATAGCTTTTCCTCCGTGTGATGTTTTCCAGATGCGAAGGACACAAAATGGATTATCCAAATTATAATCCCATATAGCTAGACAGCATATAGTATGGGAGGGGCTGTGCAAGTAGTCCTCAATTTAAGACCAGACTGGTGCGCCAGCATTTGTGATGCTAAGCAAGATGGTTAAGTAAGTCATGCCTGACTTTTCTTCTTTTTTAGCCATGGCTGTTAAGCGAATCACTGCAGTGATTGAGTGAGTCATACTTCCCCCACTGACTGCTTATCAAAAGCTGGTTGAGAAAGTCACAAATAGAGATCACATGATCCTGGGATGCTGCAATAGTCATAAATATATGCTGGCTGCCAAGCATCCAAAAGTTTGAACGTGTGATCATGGGTATGTTCTGGCCGTTGGTTGTAAGTCATTTTTTGCAGTGCCGTTGTAACTTCGAACAGTCATTAAACAAATGGCTGTAAGTCAAGTCAAGGACTACTTGTATTCAGTTTCTGAAATGCATACTTTTTTTTTTAAATACCCAGTCGTTGAACAGGTTTGTGACTAATAATTGATCCTATCTCCTGTCTTAATTGTTTTTCCCTAGAGCCTGCATGTTGCGTTCTTCTACTTCCAGTAACCTGAGCACATTTAAGAACCATTGTTCAGCTCTAGCATATGCACTGGAAATGATTATGAAATTCTGTACCTTCCACTTCTGGTAACCAGTATCTTTTGTGTTTTAACTTCAGTGGTTGGGAATGTGCATTGCACAAGTTATGAGTTGAAACAAGCAAAACCAAAACTCAACTCATTTTGGGAAAATGGTGGTCCTACCAAAGTCTTTGGAAACCTAAACCAGCTGGCCTAGGAGGGTAATAAGTAGAAGCCACTTGAGTGTAAACAGGAAGAAATTGGAATTTCTTGTAGTGGTAAGAACTATGAACAAAGGTAAACATGGAGAAGGATGCTGAAAGGGGAATTTATAGCCCAGTAGTGAAATCTAAATTTCTTTCCTACCGGTTCTGTAGGCGTGGCTTGGTGGGTGTGGCTTGGTGAGGGTCATGTGACTGGGTGGATGTGGCTATGTAACAATGTGACTAGGGGATCAAAAGACAGAAACCCACTAACAATGTCCTGCTGGAGCAGGGTTGGACTACATGACCTCCAGGTCCCTTCCAGCCCTAGATTATCCTCTGAAGATAATCTACTACTACTGCCAGGTTTGTAGTCCTTCCTTCCTCTCCTTTTTCCTTCCTTCCCTCCCTCCCTTCCTCCCTTCTTTCTTTCTCTCTCTCTCTCTGTTTTTTGCCTACACCCCCCATTTTTGGCCTAGCAAAAATGGATCCCCCCCCACCCCCGTAAAAAAAAAAAGGTTCCAGCGATCGCGCGCCACAGCTGTGATCATTGGAGCCTTTTAAAAACTTTTTTAAAAGCATTTTTTTACTACTGGCTTGGGTGAATAGGTATTTAAAAAATGCTTTAAAAAAGTAAAAAAAAAGGCTCCGATGATCGTGTGGCACAGCTGTAATCGTCGGAATTTTTTTTTTTTTACTTTTTTAAAGCATGTTTTACTACCTATTCGCCCAAGCCGGTAGTAAAAAAATGACTAAAAAGTAAAAAAAAAAGTTCCGATGATCAGCTGAGTGATCCGTGATCGTCGGAACTTTTTTAAAAAACTTTTTCATGCATTTTTAACTACTGGTTCTGGAGAACCGGTAGTTAAAAAATGCTAAAAAAGTAAAAAAAAAAAAGTTCTGACAATCGTGGGTTGCTCAGCTGATCGTCGGAACTTTTTTAAAAACATTTTTTACTACTGGTTCGGCGAACCAGTAGCATTTTTTATTACTGGTTCAGGTGAACCAGACCGAACCGGTAACATTTCACCCCTGCCTCAGCCCCTGTTGGTTATGCTGGAAATTCAATCTGGGAAACACACCACTGTGGAAATTTGAAGAAGGCTTAGGTACCTCAAATGATCTCCAAGAATTACTTCCAAGAATCAAAGAAGTTGGGAATGAACAATATTCAATATATCTTTTTTCCTCAGCTTTGGACAGCTGATTTTTGGAAACCACCCTGGATATTTCGTGGAAGAGCAGTATGTAAAAATCCGAGGAAGGAAACAGGCGAAGGAAGAGTTCTGTTTTGGTTGGATTTTGCTCTAAAGCAGTATGGCTAGTGAGCCACAAAACGGCCCATTTGCGAGTCCTCAGTCACATTCAAGGCCAAGCAAGGCCCGGCCATGCATTGGTTCTGTGGAACGTGGGCGCTTGCCTTTGCCTTCTGGCTCCACATTAACTGCGCCCTCATTTGTTTGCCTGGCAGGGCCAAGAGAACGTCTCCCACTTACATCCCTTGGGAAAACCCCACGCATGAAGGCTGCACCTGCTAACAAGAGGAAACGCCTGGGCTCCACGAGGCAGAACGAAGCAACTCTGGAGCTTTCCAAAAAGGGCGATCATTATTTCCTCCAAGCAGCCTCCACTTCCTTTTTTTCCCTTTCAATACCCCCTTTTCTTTGTAGAAGGCCGGCTCGGTTCACTGCGGCTCATTTTCTGCAGTCAATCAGTCATCACATCTCCAGACAGACCACATTTTCTGAACCCTGAGAGACTGATTTGCCAGGCCATACTCACCGCCCACAGATTTCATGGAAAAGAAAGCTGGCAATAAACGTCAGACGACAACTTCCTACTGTCTGGTTTCCGTGCAACCGGCAGTGTTTGGAATATGCTTCGGTGATGCCAAATGCAAAAGAAAACCTCATGAAACTTGGAATGCATCGGGGGCCACTAATTTAAGGAGTATTTATTGAAAAGGATCTGATGAAATTTGGAGATGATGTACTCTTTTTTTTAATGCATTGAGTTTCCCGAACTTGAATACAGAATTTAATCAAGACACAAATGCGTGATGATAATTGCATTGAAAGGGAGAAACCAAGGGAACTAGAAAGGTGACGGTGCTAAAGCTCCCTAAATGCATTAAATCTGATATGGAATGCTATGTAGACCCTTAATTCTGAAGCAGCTTTACCCCCACTGCGAATGCCACTCAAACACTCCTATGCAGGACAGATGTTTAAAATGGGTTGGGGGGAATCTGCCACGGAGTCAGCTAGGGAATCCCATTCTACCCATTGCCCCCTCCCCATTTCAATGACAAGTCTGATTGGTTTTAAAGAAATATGAGATGTGATCGGCTATTACGACTATGCTAAAAATTATCCAGAGACCTTGGCTTGTTTGCATCTGTGGTTCAGCTTGCCATACCCAATTTAGACTGCTAGTTAAAAGACCACATTCACAATTTCAGGAAGCCAGGAAATCTTGTGGCACTGGCTTGTCAAAGGTACACTTGCATGTTAAAGCGGTTTATAGTATAACAAATATTGTTAAACAGAAGTAACATCGGTTAAATCAATTGAAGTATGAAGTACTGTATTTCGATAACAGCTCACCTGATTTGTCTGTGCTCATACAGATCAAACTGCTTGATTGAACAGTGAATATAACCAGTGCACTCACCAATTAAAAATGGCATAGTATGTTTCACTGTAAAGAATAATATTTACCTAGGAAACAGATACAGTTAGTTACTGTATATTTATTTTGCTATAACATTTGCAATTATCATAGTGTTCCATCCTGTTTCAGAGCACTAAAGCCAGTAGAGTAACCAAAACATTTTGTCTTAAAATGTCTATATACTGTATGTTTATCACTAATAAATTGTTTGACATATCTACTCTCCTAAGATTTATATTACATTTGTACACAGAGGAAAGAGTTCTGAATGGATTTTTGCAAAGCATTCTTGCTTTGATTTTATAACATACTGCAAGAAGCCTCACTAAAATATTATAGAAAATGGAGGAAATATAAATGATCAAGAAAGGAAACAAAAATCGCTATATAGGCTATGTATAAAACAAAATAATTGATTTATAGAAAGAAAAGTTTAACAAAACATTTAACAAGGGGAGACTAAGAGGCTACAAAGACAACAGTGTTAAGGTAGCTTTATTTATTAAATCTGATATATTGTTACTGGCTGCTAATTCTGAAATAAACTTCTTCCCATCATCTCGTTAAATCACCATTCTTTCTCATTCCAGGGTTATTATATATTCATACTAACATATCTGTATCTATCTCTGCATACTGGCTAGGGAATTCGGTGAGTTGAAAGCTACATGTCTTAAAAGTTGCTAAGATTGAGAAACACTACAATAGATATTAAAGACTACATGGAAATGTTTTCTAGTTGGGAGAAAGATGGAAGCTAAACGCACAGTTTACTTCATGCCTGTTCTATTAACTGGCCCATATAATCACTGTAAAGTATTAGAACATAATACTGTACTTGCAACTTGCTGAGCAGGGGTGAAATGTTCCTGGTTTGGACCGATTCAGCCAACCAGTAGCGATTGCGGCTGGTGGTTCGGAGAACCAGTAGTGATGGCGGCGTGAGGCTCCGCCCACCCACCCGGTCGTCGTTACTTCCTAGTTTTAACCAGAAAGCAACCTGTTTTTTACCATCTGCGCATGTGCAGAAGGGTTTGCACATGCGCAGAGGATCCGTGCGTGCATGTGACACACGCAGGCGGCGGGTGCACTTCCGAACCAGTTGGGAAGGTAAGTAGATTACACCCCTGTTACTGAATATAATTTGAAACTTGCCAGTGGCATGTTTGATTTTAACATTCAGCTAAGGCCATGTTCATAGCGAAAGAAAAACACATATTCTCGTCATTAAATAATCCATGTCTGATTTCTACAACAGCAAAAACAATCTCAGTTGAATGAGTGGCAATCAATTCTAGCATATCCAAAGATTAGCCTTATTAGCATAAGAGCACCAGTATGCCTACTGTCCCTGTCCTAATGTTCTCTTTAATTTTATTCATTTTATGTATTCAATTCATGCTTATACTTTTGTATGTATGTATGTATATATATATGTATATATGTGTGTATGTGTGTGTATATTTGTTTTCATATTCATATATATATATATATTAAGAATTGTCCTAAAGATGTGAGTTCCAGGTATAGTTATAGAAGAGGCGATAGACATCACGATCTCCGGAACGTTTAAAAGTTTAAAATTTTTTATTTTAAAACTTGTGCTAAGCTTTCGTCGGCCCCTACCGACTTCGTCAGAGTATAAAATCCCCATTGAGGAGCTGCTTGCTTTTATGTGATGCTGATCAATTTAGTCATTGCGCGTGCACACCCTAATGCGCACAAAGTTAGCTGCATTCGGACATTATTTGGCAGGATAGATACCCATTGCAGCACACGGGCAGCCAAAGCAAAAGAACGTGCGCATCTTTACCGGGTCTGCGCTCTCAATGGTTATCCGAGGGATTTTATCCATCGATGTATTACACCCAGGGCCCAGCAGCCCATGGAAGGCACATGCGGAACAACAACGTGGAGGGTGCTCCCATACATACAGGGGGTGTCCGAAACTGTGGCATGCATCCTTGCACCACATGGGGTTAGAGTGGCACACAGACCTGACCAAACACTGAGGAAGAGAGTAATGCGCCCAAAAGAAGCTTTGCCGAAGGAGGAGACTTCCTCAATAATCTATCATATTAACTGCAGCAATTGCGCAGGTCATTACATAGGAGAAACATCAAAACGACTGAAAATGAGGGTGCATGAGCACAAACTAGCAGTCAGACGTAAGGAACAGCGCTCCCAGATTTGGATGCATATGGAGGAGCATGGTCACGAGTTCAACTTCCAAGAGACCGAAGTCGTTGCCCACGACGAAACAAAAGGAGGGCGCCTCTTGAAAGAAGGCTGGTTCTCTAAGAACAACTCCCTCAATAGACATATTGACATACCACCGGCATACCAGGCTTTACGGCACCAGGAAAGACTTAAGGAGGACTGATCACTAAGACTGAATGGAGATCGGGGACAAATCTCCTCCTTTAGGCATGGAGAGTGGCCCAATGAAGATGTGATAAACCCTGATAGAGGGCAAGAGAGTAGGTTAGGGAAACAGCAGAATGAGGAAGATAGGGGGGGTAAGGAAGAACAACGCAGACCCATCACAAGATCATGGGTAAAACAAATGGGTTTAGAGGAGGCAACGTGTGTGCCTAAAAGGGAAAGGCATAACAATGAGGGAGAGGGAGCCGGGAGTAATACCTTCAAAGCAATGCCTGATAACACTGCGTTACCCCCCAGGGAGAGAAAGAGGCAACACACAATGGGGAAGGAGGCAGGGGAAAGTGCATTGTCATCGGTCAGCATGACTAAGGCAGAAAAAAAGATAATTACAGGGGGAAGGCAAGGGTGTGGACCTGTTACACGCGCAATGACTAAATTGATCAGCATCACATAAAAGCAAGCAGCTCCTCAATGGGGATTTTATACTCTGACGAAGTCGGTAGGGGCCGACGAAAGCTTTGCACAAGTTTTAAAATAAAAAATTTTAAACTTTTAAACGTTCCGGAGATCGTGATGTCTATCGCCTCTCCTCTCTCTCTCTCTCTCTCTCTCTCTCTATATATATATATATATATATATATTATATTATTATATTATATTATATTATATTATATTATATTATATTATATTATATTATACATACTTGACAAATAAATAAATAAAATAAATAAATTATGATTAATACATTGCAAAATGCTATTGCAGAACTAGGGAGCGTATTTTGAATAGTTGTGGATGCATTAAACACTTCTGAGGGTGGTCTCTTGACTGGTGGCTGTACTTTGGTTTCAAAATACAAACAGCTGAGGAAATCTTGTCAGAATGTTTCTTCTATTCCACAAAATATTTACATAAGATAAACACCAAAAACCAACCTGGTTGGAATTCTTTGTTCTAGGGCTTTTCAATTTTTTTCAAAAATTGATAAAATAAAAGGTTGCATTCTACTAAAAATGTAAGCAAGTCAGAGGTTTCTGACACTTAAGGTGCAAATTTCAAAAATTCACTCCAAATAAAACTTAGTATGACTTTTGTTATTGCAAAAGTGCTCAAAACATGATTTACTTTAAAGAATAGATATTCAGTAAATATCTTGGATTATTGGAGGTTAATTCAGTAAAATGGAGGGTTGTATTAATAATTAATTTTAGGGCTTTCAGATGGCCCTTCTTTCTAGGATTAGGTAATTAAAACTACAGATAAAGTCCACCTGGAAGTGAATATACTTAAGTGAATACACACACACAGACTATTTTTGTGGATGAATAAAAACAGTTTTAAGTCTTATTTAGGCCTTTAGTACTCACAACTGTCTGTAAAATAGAGGATTCCTCTTCTGACCATTATCATTAAAGGGAAGTTTGAATATAAGAAGGTGGCATAACCGGCACAGAGACATATAGTATTTTTTAAAATCCACATTAATATTTAATGAATTAAAACAAATATTTTAAAGTTATCTAGTTAATCAGAAGCACCTTTTAAATTAATTGCAAGTTTTTTAAAGGATTCGGATAACTATAAGCCTACTAGGAGCCTAAAAGACCAAGCAGGTCTATGATTTTGAAATTCTGAAAGCTTTCAGAAATACTGTGAACATCAAAAATCAAAGTGATTTTGGGGGGCTTTTCCACAGATAGTGGTATAGGCACTTGCCTACAGCAGCATGGCTGTACCAGAAGTGTACCAGTCAGCCTCTCATTGCATCACCAATATAGCAGCTTGGTACCTCGGTCTGAAGGCAAAAAAAGACAACAGAAAATGTAGTGGGACTTTAAGAGAAGGGATACATATTATTTCCCTTGTATTTCACTGAATATTTGTATTTTATCTGGAGTATTGCTTTTTTCCCTACAGAAATACAAACTATTGATCATAATAAAAATATGAATTACCATACACATACATATTGTTTGAGAATGTAGGCATTTGGCCAAGGAATTTCTGGAATTATACCAAGTGTGTATCTTCAATGTACACATTCTATATTTACCTGCATTGTTACAAGCCTGATGGATAATGGCAATGTTGAACAGCAAAGAAGGTGGATTATGTCTATGACTCTGTGAAGTTTGGCTCTGGTCTACAAAGGGAAGATAATTTGAGATTAGATTCCATAGGGCTAAACTGGGTCAAAGAATCTGCTGAGCTAAACACTTTCAAATCACACATTTTTGTGAGGTAGCCAAAATGAAAAACAGAATGGGGAAGCAGGCACATATTTTATTAGGTGTAGGGCTCAGGATGTTATTATACTGAGGTTTATTAAACTTGCTGGCATAGCAGGAAAACAATATGCAGAAGAAAGTTCAGGACTACTGAGCTGGTTAGAAGTTTATTAATGTGACAGGACTAGTATGTGTCACTAGGAAGCTAACAGTGCCAGAGAAAGATTCATCCTCATTTTGACAAGTAGTCTTTCTCTCTGATTTTTTTCCTCTTCACTCTCCTTTCCTACTCCACAGCAATGATTAGAACCAAAGTACGAGTGTGAACATGTTCCAGAATTCTCAAAATATAGAATAATATAATGGAAATTGATACTGTACAACAAAACACAAGAAAATCCACTTCTTTTGCATAGACTTCCATGCTATTTGCTGAACAATCCAACTCAATTAGATGGTTTTTCTGCAATAAGAAATATATACACCAAAGCAGGAATAGAAAATTACTTTTTTTAAAGTTTGGTTTTGCACTTTTCTATAGTACATAGGGTATTATCCATATGAAATATTGCAGTTCTGTAGCTATTTGTTCTATTTTTAATCTGATACATTTTTGTCCAGGTGTTTTGAGCTCTTTACTTACCTTTAGATGACAATTTTAAGTGTTTTATTTTTTCTATGTAAGGTAGGGTAAAGGATTTTGTGTTTTAAAAAAGTAATATACACAACTAAAAGCTCTAAAAAACCCAACTAAAAGTAGAGTAAAATGTTGGAGCCAAGTGACAGAAGTCATGCAAATTATGTAAAAATAATTTAACCAAATTTACATATTAATATGCCAATATTTATGGAGATGCTTGTTGACCGATGGCAGTCCTATCTGATTACTTCATGAAATATCACAGCCCTTTTTACAATAAGAATTTCATTTGAGTACATCTAATTGGGGCTAAATTTAATAAATTATTATTATTTGAATGCCATGGAAAATATTAAGCATGTGAGCATGCATTATATCTTCTCCTTTGACCTGTAGTTAAATAATAAAGTGATGAATCTCACCTTTTTAAAAAAATTCAGACTAGTTTCCCTCAACCTACGAATAAAATATTGTGGGTTTGATACTGAGGAAGAATTTTTCTTTATCCATTTTGTCAAAAATTAATTTAGCATTTAATTTTTTGACATGCGTTGCATTGATCCATCATGTAAATAGTGGACTAGTCAAATTGTCATATGTCCTATGCAGTTAAAACTGCATACAATATAGAATCAAAGACAGAGTTCTATCCATCCAATTCCAGGCAAAAGATGCTAAAAACATGACAACCTTGTAACAGGCATCAAAAATGTAGTGGGTGGGGCCAGAACAAAAGCTAATTTGGATTTATTTCATCTCAAATCTCAGTGCAATTCTTATATATACTCTCCAATCCTATTTCTAACATTTTTCTTCTTTTATGTCAAATATTATAATTTGCTAATAACTTTTTAAAATCCCTGGGAAGTACACTCGAGGATTTTAAGAGGATGCAGACTGCTAAGGGTCTTGGATTGTGTTTCTTTATTCATATTGAACACAATACTGGACCCTCCACATTATCGGTTGAATAAATTCACTGACATGATGACTTGTTTCAGGCTGCTTTTCTGATTGGGACGTGCCCTAATTCCAAGATCATTTATCAACAAATATCATGAGTCTTGATTATGGAAAATAAGTGGGGAAATAGTAAGAAAATACCTATATGCCAATGCAAGATCAGGAAGGGAGCGAGGGAAGAAGGGAGCGAGGAAGAAAGAAAAGAAGGAAGGAAGGAAAGATGAGACTACGAGAACTTGATAAGAAAGCTTGGTTTTATCACATCACTTGAATGGGTTCCTTTCAAGGCCTATTATTTACATGAGAGGTGGGAGGATTTCAGGCTTTCTGGTGATGCAAAAGATTTAAGACTAAAAACAATTCTGCCCTTGGGAATATCTTTTGGATATCCTCCCCCCTTCTTAATTTTAATATTAAAATGAGGTGGGGGAGGGAGAATAGTTATGTTACCACTTCTACTGGTCCACTGAACATCAGAAATTTCTCTGAGAATACTATAAATCCTCCCTACCTTCGGCCTCTCCCCGTCTATATTAGTGCATGCTTTAGGGTCTGCATATCCATGAGGTATAACTCCAGGGTGAATGTGCTAGGAAAGATTGCGATTACATCTTTTTTGCATTAAAGTCTATAGAGATTCTCAGTCATCCAAGTCATGGTTGTCCCAAGGTGCTTTTTCTGGAGGCAACTGGACTTATTTTTTCTTTGAGGACATTTCACTCCTCATCCAAGAAGCTTCTTCAGCTCTAACAAGATGGTGGGGAATGGAAAGATTTATATTCCTTGCAGACAGCTGGTCATTTGCATTCTTTTTAGAGGGTCGTTGAAGCACTTGGAGGTTTATCTGTGTCCTCAGGGTCTTCTTTGCATGGATAAACCTCTTTGATTCACTACTCCAAAAAGAATTATCTGGCATTATTGTGCGCCATTAGAGATCCGACATTTGCTTGAACAATGCAGCAGAGTGAAACCCTGGTGTTTTATTACAAGAGAGGTTTGTCTACCTGTTTGCGTTACGTGGCCTCATTGATTTCCACAAGGTCTGACTGCAGCACGTCCTACAAACCAAGGTGGTGAAGCGGTTTTGTTTTGTACGTGTGCAGCCCCCCCCTCCATCTTTCCTAAAACGATTTTATGCTACCCGCTAGGGGGCAGCCTATGCACATCTGAGGGGCTTGAGAAATCATAACCAACCTCTGTTTAAGGAGGAATAATTATTTTAGGAAATAAAAAAGGAACGTTGGGCTTAGAGCTATTGGCAGTTGAAGAAAATATTACATTTTCATTCTTGAATGCAACGCATATTTCTCTAACTTAATATTTAATTGATCTTATTATCTAGACCCAATAATAGTAGTTTGTCAGATGATTACATCCTTGCTGTTAAGAAACAGCTAATTTATAATTTTATTATAAATTAGTTAATTTTAGTTAAAACTGATTAGTTAAAATATTAAAGAGGAAACTATTATTTTTGTCTTCTTATACAATATTTTTTTTTCATTTTCGCTTTACGTGTTCTTTGCAATCAACCTGAATGTAATACTTGCTTATTGGTTTATTAAACAGAACATTTTTGTATGTAAATGTAGAAGATCCCATCTAGTGAAGTAATAATTAATGCACATGACGGGAGTAAAGTAATAAGAAAAAGTTACAACAACTTGTATTTTATTGTGAAGGAAAGACAAATCGGAATACCAGTTCTCTAAACCCACAGGCATGAGGAGTACCACATATTTTTCATGAAGATTTCTTTCCAGTAAATGAATGTGACTTGTGAAATTTAGGATCGTTTAAAATATTGGATCGTTTAACAGAATTTAGTTTAACATTAATTGTAACGTTGATAAAAAAATAGGGGGGAAAAAATATTGGAGAATGCGGGCATCGATCCCGCTACCTCTCGCATGCTAAGCGAGCGCTCTACCATTTGAGCTAATTCCCCTTCCTTGTTTCGGCTCTTTTTCTCTGGCCCTATATAGCAATACTGAAGAACTTATCCAAATCATGGCTGATGCTGTCTCCTCGACCTGTTCCCGAGTTCAGTGAATGGTTGTCCCAAATTTCGCTTCCTCAACTATAAAGCGAGCAAAGGAGGGAAGAAAAAGGGCTGGGAACGCAGCCTCGCCAGAAAGCGGGATAGGGGGAAACTACACTTCCCATGACCCTTCAACAGCGCATGCGTGGCGCGGTCTTGCCAAGCGCGCCTCCGGGAGGAGAAACTCGAAGCGCCGCGGACAGCAGCGGGTTGCTCCTGATCGGGGCTCGCTTTGCATTGGGCGAGGCGGCGGCGGCGGCGGTTGGCGCCGTTCATTACTCTTCTTCTGGCGACCTCGGCGGCGGCGGAGGATGGAAGAGCGGCGAAGAGGAGGAGGAGGAGGAGGAAGGCACGGCAGACGGAGCAGCGCGGACCCCTCTCTCGGTTTGAGGTGAGCCTGAGGAGGGGGAGAGCCGGCGCCGGTGGAGGGTCGGTGCGGCGGCGGCGGCGGCCGCCCGGGAAAAAGACAGAGGTAGCCTCCTTCCCTGTCTGAGAGGCTCGGGGGAGAAGCGTTTGTGGCGCTCCGCAGGGGGCTCGGGAGGAAGCTGTGCCGGAGGAGGGTCGAGAGGGGCAGCCTCGCAGCTGCGGTCCCCGCCGGGATGGAAGTGCCTGGCCGCGCGCGCGCACACACGCACGCGGAGGGAGAGCGCGAGGGAGAAGCCCAGACGGGATGGCCCGTTTCTTGGGTGGCGCGTGTGGAAAGGAGGGAGCGGGGCCGGGCGGGTTGAGGGAATCGGCTGAGGGTGGTGGGGGGGACCGGCGGCCGGGCTGCTCTGAGGCGCTGGGAAGAGTTGGAAGGCGCTTGTGTTACGGTGAAAAGGGCGTACGTGGCTGCGAGCCTGATGTAGGCGGAATTGGGGACCGTGTCTGTCTAGGAGAGGGCAGGAGGGGTGTGTGTGTGTGTGTGTGTGTGTGTGTCCGTGTGTGGTGTTCAGTGGCTGGAGGATGGAATTCGTTTGCTGTGGGTGGCAGTTGGGTCGGGGAAGGGGGGCGGTGTGCTTTGCCATTGTGTGTGCCACGGGGAGCTACTCTGGAAGCCTTTGTGGGATTCTGGGCAGGTCCCCTTTGGTTTGGGCTGAGAAGACGGGAAAGTGGAGAAAGGAAATAAGTAGGAATGGTAGGTAACCCGATGGAGATGAATATTCATGCCAAGCCTGGGGACACCGGATGTATGAGAGAGAGAGGGAGACAGACAGAAAGAAAGAGAAAGAGAAAGACTGAGAGGGAGAGAGAGACTGAGAGACAGAAAGAGAGGATGCCGAGGAGAGTTGCATTTCTGATCTCTTCATGAAGCTCAACTGGAGGAACTTTTATGAGTACAATAGTTAAGTTTGTGCAATGTGAGATCTTTAGAAGAGAGAGCTCTTCTTCTTGGAGATGGGAAGTACTGGGATTTGTGTAGGGGAAATCAATAAGCATCACAAGGTGCTGATGTTGATTCTTGAAAGAAAACATGATCTTGAGAGTAACAGGCTTTTTCCGACTATAAAGGGAAGGGAAGAAAAGGAATGATTTATGTTCCTTCCAGCGACCCAGGAAATAATTTAATAGCAACACCCAGGATCCTGACAAAGTTCACAGAGCCACCTCACAGGCACGTGAACACTGCTGTTTGTCATCTTTTTACAGAGACCATGATTAGCATTAAGTAATCTAAACCTCTTGCAATTATTAGATGGGCTTGGTCCAGGTGTTTGTCTCTGTGCCAAAAAAACAAACAAAAATGGTCAGTATGAACACATACACAGTGGAAACTTTAAAACAGCTCATTGTCTATTCTCATGCTTATGGGTTTTTTAGTTCTTCCTCTGACTAATAGTAGGCTTTGAGTTTGGTTGAATTACAAGTGATTATTTGAACTTGCTATGTAACTGAACTTGCATGATGCAATTACTTTTCTTTTGTAGTAGCAGCAGTATAGAAAAGATAAGCAAAAACAATCCTATTTTTTTTTAATACAGAGCAATTTATACTGTGTTCTAAAACAATTTCAATTGTATAGAGCAGGATGGGCTAAATTGACTCAAAACTAAAAACGTGCAAATGTAGGCAAACTTCTGTATATTGAGACTAAGTCACATTCTTTTTATTGTGTTTTTGGTTCAATTTATGTGTTCCCACATCATGGAAATTTAATAAGCAATGATGAATTTCTGATCTAAGAGTTGTGTGAATGAAATACTATAATACATTAAATAGTATTTAGGGAATGTTGGACATCTTTTCAATGGCTTCTTGGTTTTCTCATCCATTAGTATCACATTGGATTAGAAATCAGATAAGGACCACTGGAATTATAGTTTATTGTTGTAGGATACAATAACATACTGTAACCTTGAAAGTCTGACAGAGTTTATTTCCTTCCCCTTCTTAACCAAAGAAAGTGAAGTCACCTCAGGTTTTTCATGTCCTCCTCTCTTTCAGGTCTAAGTCATATTAACCATCCATGCATTCCTTCATTAAGTTATCTCCTCTACAATTAAGAAATGTTGATTCAGGTTAAATTTTTTTGAAGGTGTAGGATAAATCTTATTAGCTACATTTTATCAAATTTACATATTTTTGAGATGATCTTTAGATCAAGAGCCTTTTGCATAATTTTATATTATATTATAGGTGTGTGTAGTGTAGTGTATATTGTCGCCCTGCCTATTTAACTTACATGCAGAGCACATCATGAGAAAGGCTAGATGAATCAAAAGTTGGAGTTAAGATTGCCAGGAGAAATATGAACAACCTCAGATATGCAGATGATAGCACTCTAATGGCAGAAAGCGAAGAGGAACTAAAGAGCCTCTTGATGTGGGTGAAGAAGGAGAGTGCAAAAGTTGGCTTGAAACTCAACATTAAGAAAACTAAGATCATGGCATCCAGCCCTCTCAATTCCTGGCAAATAGATGGGGAAGAAATAGTGGTAGTGACAGATTTTATTTTCCTGGGCTCCAAGATCACCGCAGATGGGGACTGCAGCCAAGAAATTAAAAGATGCTTGATCCTGGGGAGGAAAGCTATGGCAAATCGAGACAGCATACTAAAAAGCAGAGGCATCACCCTGCCAACAAAAGTGCGTATAGTCAAGGCTATGGTTTTCCCAATTGCAATGTATGGCTGTGAAAGTTGGACCATAAATTGGACCATAAGAAAGGCTGAGCGCCAAAGAATTGAGGCCTTTGAACTATGGTGCTGGAGAAGGCTCCTGCCTGCAAGGCGATCAGTTCTAGAGGAGATCAACTGTGACTGCTCTTTAGAAGGTCAGATCCTGAAGATGAAACTCAAATATTTTGGCCACTTAATGAGAAGGAAGGACTCACTGGAGAAGAGCCTAATGCTGGGAAATATTGAGGGCAAAAGATGAAGGAGATGACAGAGAATGAGGTGGCTGGATGGAGTCACTGAAGCAGTAGGCGTGAGTTTAAATGGACTCCAGAGGATGGTAGAGGACAAGAAGGAGGAACGTTGTCCATGGGGTCGCGATGAGTTGGACACAACTTCGCAACTAACAGCAACAGTGTAGTGTAATGTAATGATCAATGTATTGACTAGGACTCAGGAGCTCTGGCGCCCTTAGTCATAGCAACTCATTGAATGACTTTGGGCTAGTTATTATAGGCTAATTATTATAATATAACTGTTACTTTGTAGAAATGGCTTGAATACTTTTTCTGTACAGTCTATTTCATACTAAAATTTTTGCATATACAATAGTCAGGATATAAGGAAAAATGATAACTTCATATGTAAAGTAATCCTGGAATTGTTAAACTAGCTATTCATATTTTATAGAAAGATGTAATGTGTGGCAGTTGAGACTGCAGTGATTCTTAATATCACTAAGTTTGAATTTTTATAAGCAAGAAAACAGACATGATGTAATAACATTCCAACTAGACCACTGGATTTTTCTCTTTTTAGTCAAGCTGCTAAATTCTGTATATGCAAAGAAGAGTATAGTCTTGATTTTGCTTTGAAGCTTCAAAATCAAGTATTTGTGACGGGACATCATTTACTAGGTTACTTTTATGAGTAAATGGGGGCACACAAGTAAAAATTATTATTCACAATAAAGGATTGCAATGCTAGGAAGCAAAGCATGTGAAATAGAAGCAGTGAAATTCCTTTCTGAATCGTACCTGCTAGTGAAAGCTAGCCATCTCTCAATACCAGAAGTTATTTTATTAGTAGGTATTGTATTATTGAATTTATATTATTGGTGAAAGTTTTCTTTATTATAACCCCTCCTCACCTTTACTTTTTACTTCTGGCTTTAACTGTTTTGCCTTTTTAAAAATTGTTTTTGTAAAATAGGAGACACCACTTAAGAATACTTTCACACTGACTTTATTACTGGGTCAAATGAAATTAATAGTGATGTTGAAATTATAACCTCTTTGCAGTTTTACATGCATGAAACATGATTTTGTGTGCCCCCCCCCACAAGATTTGTTTCTTTACATTTCAGGACTTAAACCAACCTTTAAGATCTTCCAAAGATGTTATGCAAGTTTCTTGCTCTGTAATTAGACCAAATTAATCTTGTTTCTGTTGCATTACTGGAACACTGTTTTCTCACATTTTGGGAAAGCAAAAACATATATTATTATTGCAGCTTTACAGTTGCATATCTATTAATTTTAGGAGAGCTCCTGATAAATACATTTTCCAATGGCCAGCACAATTGTAAAATCATTTCAAATCTAAAACGATTCTGTCTGCAGTGCATTGCAGTTGTAGGCAGACTCTGGCTAGAGTATTCTACTTCGTTTTTTTAATAAAACCCCCAAGGCCTGCAATGAAGCAAATGCCAAAAAATAGTTCAGGATGATGGAGAAAAACAACAGAGAGGTTAGCCTAGGAATTTGTGATCTGTAACTGCATCAAGCTCATGTCCTTTCTCATTTAAGTCCAGTCTGGCCTTCTCTTGAGTCCTTTCTCATATAAATCCAGTCTGGCTCTTCCTCAGCAAACAATTTTTTAGTAAAGATAAAAGTTTTAGTTTCTACTATTGGTATGATATAGCTTTCTGATTTGCCACTGTTTATCATCATACTGTCCATCCTATTGTGTAGGTACTAAATTAGATGGGGAGATAATTTTTCATGGCAACTGTAAATTCCTAAATGGGTACTCCTGGACATATTTGTTTTGTTTTCTTTATTCTTAACTCATTTAACAGCTTGTGTTACAAGAACAAGAAACAATTAAGTGAATGAATATGAGAAGATTGGTAATATTCTATAAGACACCAATGAAGTCCTAAATTAAACACCCAAAAGTGCTTGCTAGTTCTGTTTGAGCAACGTGAAAATACTTCCCGAGTGAAGCTAAACTCAAATTCAAATGGAGATTATTTGCCTTTTTATGTTCTGATGTTAAGAAACAAATTGCTTAAAG